CTGAGGCAGGGTTTCTGCTTCTGTCTTGAGGCCAAATCTCTTCTTCTCTGAGGCCTTCAGGTGATCTGGTGAGGCCCAGCCACTGGACAGAGTCAATCAACTGTTAGGATTAATCACATTTGTAAAATACTTCCCCGAGGAGATCTAGACTGGTCTTTGGCTGAACAAGCCCGGCGGATCCCCCAAATTCACCATCACACCCCCATCCCCATTGGGTAGCGGTGGGCTACAATATGCATCCCATTTTGCAGCTGTTTAGATACATGAAAACAATTTCTAGTTGTGAGTTTGTAAGTGCTATCAAGGGAAAAAAGTAAAATTATACGGATCCCAGGGCCAAGTGGCTGTCGCCTTATAATTAAAGGGCTACGCTGTAAATGAGGAATTAAGTCCCCCACATCGTAGGCCTGGATCTCGTAAGAAGAACAGGTGGCACCACCCCAAATTAGGGACATTAGCAAAGTGCCTATCCCTGGAGGTGCCTGAAAAAGACTCCAGTCTGCCTTGGAGCTGCTCTGCTGATGTTTAAGGTCTAACACCAGCTGGGGTGTCTGGCTACGTGAACACTCAACTTCTTTCAACCCAGGGAGTTGCCGGTTCCACAGTTCTGGGATCACAGGTGTGCAGGGAGCCCTGGCGGCTCAGATAAGGATGTTGACAAAAAGTGCGTGAAGCATTGAGCACGGCTCTGTGTGAGCTCCCCACCCACGTTCACTCTTATGACCGGGGAGAGGAGCTACATGTGCCGCTGTCCAGTCCGCAGAAGCAGAAAGAGGCTGGTCAGCAAACAGATGGGAGCCGCTGTCCCCACAGAGCATACCTTTCGGAGGAGACACACCGTCAACAAATGCATTGCAACGGGAAGGGCATGGTGAATGCTGTGGACAGAAGACCCCAGGGTGCAGAAGAAAGGCTGATTATCCCGGTGCGGTTGGCAGGAATTTCCTTCTGCGTGAGTGACTGCTGGACCAGATGCCTCAGGTTTGAAAGGCCACTGTCCTGTGGATCGGGAGTAAGAAGCCCACCGCATGTTGAGATCTGGGTGTGTGGACCACCTCCCGCAGAGGCTTCAGCATGATTTGGAAAGCGGGCAGGACAGGTGCTCGAAGAGGGGAGCTCCCGGGGGTGGGATGGACGTCGTCAACCATCTAGTTTCTGCTTCTGTTCCATCCCGTCTCATTTTGGTGCCCCCTTCCAAGCTCCCCCAGGATGTGCCTGGCTGCTGATACACAGAAGGAGCCTTGGAAAAGACCCCTGGTCATTTTAGAAGCTGTTTGCTAGGCAGATGGCCCAGGGGACACCCACAAGGGCGGCAATGTCACCTGGAGAGGCTGAGCAGAAGCAGAATGCAACACTCAGGCGTGTGGTTCCAAGTTCAGCTTATGGATTTTATTCAAACTATCCGGAGGGCAGATACGAAGGCACAGGCTTCAATATCTCTTCTTGAAACTCTATAACACAACCGAGACCTGTCAACCTTTGTCAGAACCACATGCCTGTGGGAATCTCCTGAGGCCGCTTTAACAGGGTGCCACCAATGAGGGGGTTTAAAATCTTGTGACTGTACCCTGTCACAGCTTTGGAGACAAGTCTCAAGTTCAGGTATGAGCATGAAGGATTCTTTACAGAGGCTCTGCTGGAGAATCCAACCCAGCGTCTTTCCAAAACCCAGTTTCTTGGGCTTTTGTAAGTATTTACTATTATTATTATTTTCTGACACAGAGTCTCTCACCCTGGGTAGAGTGCCCTGTCATCACAGCCCACAGGAACCTCAAATTCTTGGGCTCCACTGATCCTCCTGCCTCAGCCTCCTGAGTAGCTAGGACTACAGGCACCTGCCACCACAGTCAGCTTGTTTTTCTATTTTTAGTAGAGATGGGGGTCTTACTCTTGCTCGGGCTGGTCTTGAACTCCTGAGCTCAAGGGATCCACCTGCCTCAGCTTCCCAGAGTGCTGGGATTACAGGCCTGAGCCACTGTGCCCGGCTGTAACCTTCTCTTGTTAGTCCTTTTGGGTCAGGACCCATAGTAAGGACTTTATCTTAACTTGACCCCATCTGGGAAGACCATACCTTCAAATAAGCCTCTGTATGCAGGTGTCACAGATGACGACTTGAGCATGTCTTTTTGAGAGGACACAACTTAACTCATAACAATCATTCACATGTGGGCTGCTGTCTCTCTGACATTAGAGAGTGCTTTGGGGTCATGCAACCCCACTCTGGTCTTTCACCGGTGTTTTTTTCCTCGTACATAAGATACCGGTGAGGCTTGGAATATGGAAATGAGGGAATTTGGACGTGAGCTGGGAAGACAACTCAAAGAAGACGTCTCATTTTCCCTTTTTTTCTTGTGTTTTCATTTTCTCACTTACAGTTCCATACTTGGTACTGCCAGACACACAAAAAATTGCATTTTCCTGGGAGTACATCCTTTGCACAGCTGGGGGCAAGTCATTTGAGCCTCCAGGAATTTAGGGCAGAGCGACCACCAGGTTCCAGCCAGAAGAATGTGTATGGTGGACTGATTTGTGGTATTATTCGAGCTGCAAAACCAGGCAGTGGATCCCAGGAAGA